TGCAAATTTCAGTACAAAGCTACTAGCAAAATACTATATATAAAAACTATTAAACTTTATTTACAGTTTAGAAATGGAAAGTTGTCAGACAAAAAAAAAAAATGCTACAGTTTACTAGATTTGTCCTTATTAAGTGCATACAACTTTAAAACTTAAAAAAAATTAAGTTATGTGCAAGCAAGTTTGCAACATCAGTATCAAGTTGCTAAAAGGTGAAGAAACACACACAATAGAGCTATATAATGTGTTACTTTGATTCAGTTGCAAAACTGAGCCGGTAAAACATCTTCAAGGAAAAAAAAAGAACCTGGTGGCGAAGACACTAATGGTTCTTAACAAATTCATTTTAGATATTTAAAGAACAACCGAAGTTTAGGCAAAAATCTATTTTTTGTTTAAGTCCAGTTGATCAGGCCAATAACTTTTCCAGGAAGCTGGACAGTATAATGTTCTGATAAAAAAAAGTGTAGTGATTAGGCTAACAGTTTTCTTCTATGATGCAAAAATGTTTAAAAAGTTTTCATAGTCATCTTGATTAATAATAACTTGCAAGGTTGCAACATCATGTTGCAAGCTTGTTGATTACATGTTGTAAACTTGTGCAAAATAGTTTTTGAAATGATATGTTGAACTTGTTAGTAAAAAAAACTAGTTTGCAACATTTATATTGTCTTACCAACTTTGAATAACTCAGTTGTCATAATAATTTTTCTAGTGATTTTTTTTTAGTCAAAAATATTCTGAACATGTTTTTAATTTAGCGCAATTAATTAACATCATTTATAGTTGATGGAGTCTCTTTTTGCACTCTAGGTAAAATGTGCTAGTAGACTAGTAGTAAAACATTTGGCTCGCAACCAGAAGATTGGGGTTCAAATTACCTCTGCTGAAATTACTGTGCTCAATTTATTTTGTCGCACAGCGCCTTTGTTTAAAAATTTTTTAAACAAAGGCGCTTTGTTTAAAAAGTTTGTTAGTAAAAATGGTAATGTTAAGGATTGAGACAAAATATTTTATAAAAATGAGTAACTCCCTTGATTGAAGTGGTCATTGGAGCAATAGGGAGGTGAATTTATGAAATTAAAAAAAAAATTATTGTACTCATACAATTATAAAAATTTGGTATTTTGATCAGTTTTTAAAAAAAGCCAAAAAACCCATAAAACCCATAAAACCCAAAAAAACCCATTTGGGGTGGGTTTTTTTAAAAAACCCTGGGTTTTTTCCAAGCCTGGCTCTTGCAGTCAACCTCCAACCAATGTCACATTTTTGTAATGTGTTGTAATTTCTATATTCTATAAATACTAGAATGTGAGCTGCTCTAAAGAGCTAGGATCTCTTGTGCCATCTACTAAAATTCTTTTTCGTGTTACTCGTTATTCAATTGAGTCATATCCTTTTACTGTGACTGTTCCTAAGTGCTCTGAAAATTCTTATTTATCTAGTTTTTTTCATCAAATATCAGTTCTTTGGAATTCCCTCCCTTTATTTTGTTTTCATAATTCATATAATTTGCAATCTTTTAAGTTGTCTGTTAATTGTTATCTTGCTCTAAAAACTTCATTTTTTCTCTTGTAGTAACTTCCAACTTTAATAGTGGTTGCTTACAGCCTTGTTGGATGTGAAGATGTTGAAAAAAAAAATATTGAAACACATAGACATAGTTATCCACAGTAAAAAATATAAAAGTTATCACTTTTCTTCTTTTTTATTTGCAGGATTGTTCAATCTCTATTTTTTCATTTTGATATTTCTCTAAGTTATCATGGCAAAACACTGTTTTATTGTAACAGTGTTAAGGTATTTCCTCTTACAAGTTACAATATTTCCTGACAAACTGAAAACCCTTTTAAACAGGCAACTTGATGCAAGAACGCAAAAAATAGATTTTAAAAATAAATTTTAGCTAAAATATGAAAAATCTTTGACTTGTCTTTCCTCCAAATAGTATGGGTGTAGAATAATATGGGCGTAAGAAATTAGAAAAACCACATTTTAGCACTTTATTTTCAATTTCAGTAAGCAAGAATTTAATAAAAGCTTTCATGCTTGTAATAAAGTAATATCTTCATATTTTTTTATTTGTGCATGGTAATGCTATAAAATGCTGCTATAACATTTTAAATCATAGGAATGTTATCAGCTGAAAGTATATTACTTATTTTTTCTAATTTTGTTATAATCGGTAATAGTCAATTCACTATTACTAAGTGTTTGGCACCAGGTAATAATTTTTTTAATTCTAAAATAACTTTTAAATTTCTAATAGATTCTAGAGCTGGTCTCAATTTCAGTATCAATATCACCATCATGCTATGGCTGTTCCTTTGCCTTTTAACAAGAGCAACATAATAATACTTTAACATAAGGCACTGTAAAAGTAGCAAAGGTCATCTTATATTACAATTAATTTAACATTATGAATAAAAATTTAGGTATTATATTATTTAAAAAAAAACCAACCATCAAGTTTATTGCATTCTTTGTAAATTTTTTGCCATATTAAAATGATTGATGAGTTTTAGAAGATGTTTTACGCAGATGTCAAGAGCCTTTTGAATTTCATAAATCTCTTCAAATAAATCTTTGTTTTTAATGATCTAAACAAGTATTAATCATGATTGTAACACAAAATAAAATGTGTTAAATAAAAGCATTATTACTTTTATCAAGTTGCTAGCAGCATCCATAATCAACACTTTTTGTGTTGCTTTCAAGCTAACAATTAACTCAATCATTTTGTCTATTTCATTAGTAGTATGTTGAGCAGTATGAATTCTTAAAAACTCTTCTAATAACAAATTTAAAGTATAATCACCAACAATATAGTACAAAGTTAAAGTAATGAATAAATCTAATGCTCTAAAAGTCCAGTAGTCAAACCTTTTGTTTAAATTGTAAGGAAATCAATTAAAAAAAAAAAAGGAATACAAAATGTTTTATTAATTCTAGATAAATCAATTAAAATATAATCTGCAAAATTTTTTTAATTTTTGAAAAGAAAAGTTTGGAAAAAAAGTCAGCATTTGTGTTTCTATCAGTTTTAAGCTAAAATGTTCCACATTTGTCGATTTGTTGAACCCTATTTCGAATTTATGTTCTACCCTGATGCCAACCTTAAGAGGTTTTTTAGGTTGGCATCAGGGTGACTTAAAAAACTGTTTTTAGGTTGCTCTGATGAAATTTTAGGTCAGCAATTTTTTGCTGACCTTAATTATCATGATTCCTGATCCCCAGTTGACTGTTATGGTTAATGTAGCATTGTCAGGTCTTATGCAGATCATAAAAGAATATTTATTAGACAATTTGCAGGAAATATGCCTGGTGTTGAATGAGTAAAATCTTTCTTATAGAGAAATAAACAATTAGATGTTAAATTTGCAAGTAACATTAAAAGAACAAGGGCAGAAGTGGCTTTTTTTTTATAATTTTTTTGATAATATCACTGCTTACCTTACAGAGGTTCCTCCATCCAACGTTTGGAACTACAATGAAACTAATTTAACTGATGACCTTGGTAATAAACAAGTAACAGCAAAGCGAGGATCAAAATATCCTGTGAGGTTAACTAATTCAACGAAGTCTGCTATATATTGTTTCTTCATTTATTGTCTACAAAGCATATTTGATGCACTTCCTCCAAACTTCATACATTTAATGCTTTGTATGTAGCATATTTTTGACCAATAAATGCTCAGAAGAAAAAATGGAGAAAAATATTAGCAACTTGGGAGGAAATTGGTAAAGGATGTAAAGTTCCTTCCCTTCTGATAGACCAGTTTCCAGCATTGCTTAAATGTCTTATGAATAAGATTGAACAACCTATTTGTGAAAGTATAAAGGCTTCAGAAAAACTGGCCACTCACTTGATCAAAAACAGGTGCTACGAAGACTTGCTAAAAGAACATTTACAAATAGTCAGTGAGTGGTTCATACAAGAATTAGTTAAAGGTAAACCTGGTGATCAAATACATAAAAAGTGACACGTCTGTTGTCCCAGAATACACCACTGATATATATATATATATATATATATATATATATATATATATATATATATATATATATATATATATATATATATATATATATATATATATACATATCTTATACTGCTGAGTTAGGTGAGCGTGATGATGTCATACTCACCTAATGTCAAATAGCCTGCTGCCGGGGGCTTCAGTACATACATCGACTGACAAATAGCCTGACTCTAGTGGAGTGCTGCTACATCGACTGAGGGTTTGGTATGGGTCAGCAACCTTTTCATTCATTGTTCTTCGTTTTACCTCATCGTTTTCTAAAAACGCTCACTTAAATTAGGCTAGCAAAAAAAGTGAGCAATTGCGCATATAAATATACTATAGTAGATATGTATATATATATATATATATATATTTATATATACAACCCTCTGAGTTAAGAAAAATGAGGTCGGAATTAAGTCAGCAAAAAAAAATTGACACAGAGAGGTTACCATAAAATATAAAAACAAGGTCGGCAATTTTTTGCTGACCTCTAACGCTTTTAGGTTGGCAGTTAGGTCAGCATTGTCGCCAACCCTATTTCTGAGGGTTGTATATATTATATATATATATATATATATATATATATATATATATATATATATATATATATATATATATATATGTTTATTTATATCACATTAAAAACACATTTAGATTGACAATTTGTTTTTATATTATTTTATACTGTGAAGGCTTTTAAAATTTTTATTCTATTTTATACTATTTTATAGAAAGCTTTAATGTGATGATTGTATTCTAGTATGTATAAATCTATTGTTGTTCTGCCATTTTGAAATATATTTTGAAAATAAGATATCAATTTAAAAAATAAATTTTTACATCATTAAGGTACTTAATATTAGTAATCTAAGTCTTTTTTTTTAAATCAAAGCATATAAGTAAACTTATATGCTTTGCATTCATATGTAAATGCTTAACAAAATTTTATTTATAATTAAAATTTTTTTTAAGGGTCTATCTCCTTTCAAACGAAAGAATTTTAAATATGTGCCTCTTTATAGTGCTGACGGAAAATTAAAAACAGAAACTATCCTTTTACCTGGTAGACATGCATGTCAATGTTTAGCCCAAAAGCACAAGCTTATAAACAACTGTTTTCAGTGCGGGAGAATTGTATGTGAACAAGAAGGTTCAGGTCAGAATTTTATAGTTTAACATTTTGTTTTTTTGTTTTACATAAAATTATATTGTGTTAACAGTTTTTAAGTTTTTCTCTAATAATGGAAAACTTTAATGTCTACTGGCAACTAATTGAGCTCTGGTTTAGAACTAATTAATTTAATTAATAATATAATGATCATCATGAGAGATTTAGGAAATAAAAAAAAAAAAAAAAGTTCAATTAAGAAAAAGAAGTGTTAAAAAAAACTGGTAAAATTTTTTTTTTACTGAATTGACCTACCCAAGGTTGAGAGGAAATTTACATCCAAAAAGTTGATGTTCACCTTCCAAAGTTTGAGAGAGCCAATACAATTAATGGGGTTAATTTTTATATTATTAGTATTATTGTTTTTTTTCTTGCCGTGGTTACAACCCTTTCAACTCTTTAACTCTAAAACGAAGCCTTGATGACAAAATTGGAAAAAAAAATTGAGCATTATACTACAGGGTTGTGACAATCTAATTCGAATAGTGTTCTACCACTATTATCAAGAAAAAAGAATGAAAATGATACATAATAAAATGTTTCTGGAAAAATTAAATGAACAAAAGTGTTCTTTGCAAGTTTAAACAGGTAAATACTTATGATACAAAACAATCATATAATATCCTGTAGCAGAAAATAGTCATATGAAAGTTAGCAATTGTGTAAAAGAAAGATAATAGTTTTTATTAGAGTATAAAATGTTTTGAGAATAGAAAAATAAAAATAATTTTACTATGATGTAATAAAAGGCAATGACTTAAAATGAGTATTATGTATTCATATATACTTATATACTTATTATATAATATACAATTATATAGTAATTGTATATTATGTATCCATATATATTTACATATTTATAAAAATGTCAAATAACAGTTGAATTTATAGGATTGTTTTTGAGTTTTCTCAATACAAGGTTGATGCATTTTTAGACAGAAAGGCTTTAGATTAATTTTATTTATGAAACATGCTTTAAAATGTTTCAATTAAATACACAGCATGAACATTATGATTGACTAGGGCTGCTAGTTCTAACATGTTTAAGTTTGAACGTTCAAACTTTATGCAAAATTTTCAATGTTCGAACTTTTTTCTCTTGATAGTTAGAACTTTTAAATTTTAAAAAAAGATATGCCTTTTCATTAATTTTTGTAAAAACAGCTGAAATATGAGTAAAAATTATAAATTTGAATATTTTTGATTTTTTTTGTTTATGTTTGTCTGGCAACTCTAAAAATATAATCAAAATTACATCACCTGTAGCCCCATCACATTTAAGGTAGTATCAGTTTATTCCTATTAAAAAGTAGTTAAACAGTGGCTGTTACTTTTTTACCACTGTTTATTTACGTTTGAAGTTAAAACTATAAAGGGTTTAAAGTTCAAACAAAAAATGGTTATTCAGCATTAGCACATCTACTAGACCTGAATTTTAGAATTATTTTCATTTGTTCCCAAAAGCTGCAACCAGCAAGATATGCCCCAACACGCACTATTACAAGATACTTAAAAGTTAACACAAAATAGAGGTTCTCAAATGTAATAACATTAATAAAAATTAAATTAATAAAATAATAATTTAGTATATAAAAAGGATATATTTGTTAAACCCAGTTGTTTTAAATCAAGGTAATCAGTTTGAGAACAAATATAAAATTATAGATAATTTTGCAAACTTATTCAAAGATTATTCCAGCTCAGAGAGGTAGACTCAATTTTAATAGAAAAGCTAAAAATAGTAACAATATTAGAAGTTATAAAAGAATTGAATATAGCTAAAGAACCGAAAATGTTTTATTAAAACATGATTTTTAAATGGTATGATCTTGTGAAAAGCTCTCTCTTTAAATAAATTAACAGTTTTGTACTTAATTTGTACCCTTTTGTTTTCAATTTTAAATAAAAACTATTTATAAAAGTTCAAAAAAGTTCGAACTTATTTCCTAAATTGTTCGAAAGTGTTCAAGTTCGAACTTTTTAAAAATAGTTTAAATTGGCAGCCCTATGATTGACTGTGCAGAATTTATCTTCCAATCTTTTTAATTTGAATATTTTTTATTCTGTTTTTTTTTTTTGCTTTTTTTTCGTTGGTTTATTGTACTTCTTTGGGTTTAATAATATTTTTTTTGAAAGTGTATTTGTTAAAAATATGTAATTTAGGCCCTTGTAATTTAGGCTCTGTGTAATTTAGGCCCTTGTATTTTTTGTGAGAACCTTGTATGCAGTATTGAAGAACAAGAGATATTATGTCGGGAATCAAAGAAAAGTAAAAAGTTAAAGGAGCAACTAATGAATCAAAAAGCTGAAGTAAGCTAGTTTACAAAAGTTTATAATTTAAAAGTTTTTTTTTATATTTAAATGAAAATTAAAATCAAACCTTTAAGTTTTCTTATATTTTACTCACAATTTTTATTCATCAAAATATCAGCTTTATATATAAAAACAACATTTATTTAAAAACAATAATTTTTTATACTAAAAGTAGAGAAGGTAATATTTAATAAGGCTTCTTAGGGGTTTAGGGATAAATGAATCAGGGGTTTAGGGATTAGGGAATCTCAGGGATTTAGTTCAGTTATCTTGCTTCAAATTTTTTTAAATGAAATTAAAAAACGCCCTTAATTTGGGCATGAAAGTCTTTTTTTTTTAATTGAAAAATTAACCTTTTTTCCCATTCTTAGCCCTATAAATCTGTAACACAAACCTTAAATAGTATGACTTCTTTACAAAAAGGTTTGGTTAAGTTGGTAGTACCAGAGGCATTGTGTTACCAGATATGTTAATCTCCTACAAAAATGGGTTTAAACCTCTCTTACAGAATTAGGTTTTGATTTCTTTTAAAACAAGAGCAGAAGTATTGTTGCCTGATGTCATATTCATGTTTTGTTTATTCATGTTTAACTTTTTATCATTTGTTAGAAATATTAAAATCTTTTAAGGTGTAACTGTTTCCAGGCAGTTATGATTTCTAGCAGTGAAACATGAATTATGAAGTTGTAAAAATGAAAATGCTGTAGCCTTAAAGAACTGAATAAATAACAAATAGGTTGGTGTATATTATTAGCCGTAGGAGCAGGAAAACAATCAATGTTTAGCTGTGCTTAGCAAATGCTTAGCACAAAGCAATTAGAGAGTTTAAGATCATTAAGCAATTAAGATCATTTAAATAAGATAAATTTGATTTGTGCATTAGAGGATGGAAACTTTGACACATATTGATAAAGGTATATGAATCAGTGTTTTTAAAAAGACAGATTTGCACAAAACATTTTATAGCTTGATTTTGTTTTAGGTGTTTGAAGAAGAAAGCAAAAAGATAAGTGACTCAGATTTACAAAATGCTCTTGCCCAAAAAGACAAATTATTGGAGTTTGATAAAAACAGGTAAAATTTTGTTGAAATCAAATCTTTTATTATTGAAAAGAAGTCTTTTATGTTTTTTTTTATTTAAATTAAAAGGGTATGTATAATAATTACTTTCTAAAGTTTTTCATTGTAAGAAAGTACTTAAAAAAGGGTTAAAGTGATGCAATTGCAAAAGTGTAATACCAAAAGTATTTGTAAATTAGAAATAATTTTTTTATTATGATTGACAATGTGGTTTGATGTTAATGACTACTTATTACATACTTTACTTATATCACATGAATTACTTTTGTCACATATATGTGCTTCACATAAAGAAACAATATGAACAAGAGCAGTTTACAGTAAAAGAATTGAAATTTTGTTTGTAAAAACAAAATTGTTTGTAAAAACAAAATTGTTTGTAAAAACAAAATTGTTTGTAAAACTCATGTTTGTTTGTAAAAACTTATGTTTGTTTGTAAAAACTTATGTTTGTTTGATTTTAGTCAATAAGTAGTTACACCAGTAAAATCAATAAGTAATTTTACCATTAAAAATTAGCGGTCCTGCTGATGACATTCATGTTTTGGTTGTGTTTTGTTCATGTTTTTAACAATGGTTTCAGATGAAACTATTAAAGAATTAAAAAAAAAACAGCTTTTTGTGTGACATACAATTTCAGATAAAGCAAATGCAAATAGATGACTTAACCCCAGGAACTAAACAGAAAATTAAGTTTTAGAAATTTAAAATATAACTTGAAAGGATATTGCTGAAGAAGTTGCACATGGTCAATAAGTGGCACTTGTTTCTTTAGTGTTACACAGTAAGGATGAATATGCTGAAATTAAGCCTATTCTAGAAGACCTTGTTTTACCAGTTAAGATGCTAAAAGAAAACGATTCTTCAAGACAAATTATTTTGCATACAGTTTTGGCAACGGTTAAAGTATAGTTTAACCAATTGTGTTTTAATTAACAAATCTGCCAAGTTATTGCGTGTGCCAATTGTGTTTTATTAACAAATCTGCCTAATTATCTCCCTTATATCAGATACTTCTTTATATAGAGTTTTTTTTGGAATAAAGCCTTCTCAAAGAAAAGCTTTAGCTTGTTTTAATGATATCACATTAGCTGGTATGAATTTTTGAAAAGATTAGGTATAAAAATATTACTTTAATAAGAATTAAAAATCTAAAGAGTAATTATCTTTTCAATTTGAAATTTCCAATTTGCACAGTCACTCTACTTCATTTACCCTTTCAGATATGAATCCAGACTTGAATCACCCCATCGTGGCTGCTGTTGATGAACAATGCATTGGCTATGCAAGTTTTAGTATTTTGTTTAGGTTTGTGAGTTCATTGTAGAAAGTAAAGATAAAAATCTATATGATTTTAATGTAGCCATAAAAGATGGTTAAGTCTACATAAAGTATCAAATTTGTGAAGCTCAACAAAAAATGACAATTGGTTTTTAAGCTTCTTGATAAGGAAACTGAATTTTGGCTGAAAGGTTTTTGTCATAAAATTTTCTAGCTAATTTTATTTTAAATTTATTTGCTTATTAAATAGTTTCATAAATAATGCATATACAAAAAATTATTACATCATTTTAAACAAAAGTTTTTATTCCACTAAAAAATGATATAGTTTCAATGACATAAATTTAACTATGTAAGCTGTGGTCATCGATTCAAAAGTTTAATTTATAGTAAATTCAACATGTCAAATCTTCTTTAAGTTAGTAAAAATATGCTTTACTATTTTAAAAGTTATTGAAAATAATATTGTTGATCTGATTGTTTAAATCTTTGGGGTTTGGGTTGGGGCAGCAATAAATTTTTCATTACTTTTTATTTCTTTCTTATTCTAGAAAAGATTTTACACAGTAGATGTATATCTATAAATGCTATATTAGATATCTATCTTAGATAAAACTTAAGCGCTGTCTTTGCCAAATTTTGAATTTAAAAAATAATTTTTCTCATCATCAAGGTATTTAAACAATCCCATCATTGGTTTTCAAATCAGTGATGGGGTTGTTGTTGACTACATTATGCACTGTTATCTAGCCCTAATTCAAAATGTTTGACATTATCACAATAATATATTGTATTTTTGATTATTGAGATTAATTTTCTGGCAATATAAGATAATTGTTTTATTAACCATATTGACCATTGTGACCATTGTAATTACAAGGAATGTTCAGGAAGCATTAATGATTAGAAGTTACTTCATTTCATCTCAATCGTTAGGTCAGTGATATTTAAGATATTATTATTTCTTGTATGGAATATGGTGGTGCACCTAGAAATAAATGTTTTAAATGGCAAACAAATATCCTTTTATTCATCTTTTGATGTTATTTGTAGAATTGAAATAAAATTACAAACTTATCAAAAAGAGCATTATTTTCTCTCAAAAAACAACATTAACAATGTGGAAAATCATTGTGAAAAATCAGATTGGACATTGTTAACTTTTTTATTCTTGGAAACTGTTATTCTCATAATTATTGAAAAAAAAAATTAAGTTTATATTATTTTTAATTGTTTGAAGTTTTATTGACAAAGTTTTTATCAAGTAATTTTGTACCGCTCTGTTATAAAAATTTTATAAATTAAAAAATAATTATTTCCAGTACTGTAAAATCATGACTGTATTATTTCCAATGCTAGGTGTAATTACACTGTTGTTAGGGTATTTTAATTATTCAAATTTTGTCTAAATGTAGTTACTTCTAGGACTTCTGTCTGACTTCTTTTTATTAAATGAGCAGATTGATTTTTTTTAAGATATTGAAATATGCATGTATGAATAAACCTAAAGAACTTTTTATGTCAGGCTTAATCTATTAAAGGGCATTGACTAAAAAAATAAATTTTTGGAAGCTAGCTACCCTTACATACCCTTACATGCTCATGATTATTTTCTATTTAATCAATGTTAGAAAACCAAGTGCAACTAATCGATTAAGCTCAAAGTTTTTAATAAAAAAGTTCAAATACAGTGGTTTTAACCATTTTTTTGACAACAAATTGTGTAATCATGTTAGTTTTTTACATTTATTACAGATTGGTTTAAAAATTAAAAAGAAATAACTCTCTTATTTGTTTCGCTAAAATTGATTTTAAATTATTTTAAATTATATTTAAATGGACCAAATCTCAGCAACCTATATATCTGGCATAAATTGAAATTTTCATAAAAGAATTATTAGTGGCCATTTTTTATTACCTCCTAAAAAATATGTGAACGGTTCCAAAAATATGTGAAAAGGAAAAGATCACTTATAGAACATGTCATGTTTTGCATAGATAACTCAGACTCTTATATGAAACATATACTAAATGTTAGCACAAACAAGACTGAAGAAAATCAAGAAGTTTTAACTTCATTTGTTTATTAAAAAAAATAAGAGTGTTCAAACCAGGTGGCTGGCCACATGTTTTGAAAATTTAATATAAAGAAGACGAAATTCAGTCACTTATGTTATTACATTCACAAATTTATTTAAAATTGCATTTTTAAAACATATTAGATAATTTAAGTGAAAACTTTCTTACCATAGGATTATTGCTTGCATTTCTTCTGCACATGACCGCGGCTTGAATTTAATTCTTATGTTGCTAATTAGAGTACAGCATGTTATGAGTGTAATTTTAAATAATTTTTTGAATGTAATTAAAAATACTCTTGTAATATGTTACAAAAGTATTTATTAGTCCACCATTTTAAATTTTATTTTATTAAATTAAACGGTATTTTTAAATCAGAAAATTGTTTAAAAACTTGTTTGTGCTTGTATCATGCTTACTATATTTTAAAAGATCTAAAATAAAAAATTTGTTTGACATTTTTTATCATTTTTAAAATATAAAATGCTGGAAAAGTGAACTATATTTATATGCACATACTGTTTAGTTTTCAATTTTATAACCTCACATCTAAGTAAATTTAATATGAGTTAACATTTTCCCCATTTTCTTTTGTTGTGCCTAATGCATAGCTTTTTTGCTCAAATATTTATAAGTAAAAATGGGTTTTTTTAATTGTTATTGGCTAATGTTTTAAACAAATATGTAAGTTTTTATAGTTTTTTTCAAGAAATAATTTTTTTATAAATCAGTTTATCAGTATAACAAATTTATACTAAACTTGATCATTATTAGTGGTCTTTTTTTAATATAATAAAATGGTAATAAATTATTTATATTATCTTTCCTAATTATTTACTGCAGTTTGTGACCACTAAAAGAAAAATATGACAATCAAGTTCACTGAACTTAACTATTGTTCTGTAAAAAGTAAATTAAAGTGCATGTACCTTGAAACATACACAACTGAAATGAAGTCGCAATGAAAAGAAGTTTTTATTTAAACATGTTATTAACCCCAAATTAACCAGAGGTAGAAAAAGTAAAAAAAAATTGTACTCAATTAAAACCACCATTGCTTGGGTATAGTTTTACTCAAGTTCAAGTAAAAGTTACCCGTCGAAAGGTTTATTCAAATTAAAAAATGTACTCAGAGTAAATGTTAAAGCATTACTTTTCTAATAATTGTCCAGTAACAGAGCTGCCGAACAACAAAACATAAACAACATCCATTTTTTTAGTAGTTTTTAAAAGCGTGCAATAAAAAATGCATGCAATAAAAAAACCTGGTCTCTATAACTCTATAAAAATAAATGAAAATTAAATATAGTCTTTAGAACTTGACATAACAATACTATGATATCATTTTAATATTATTTACATTATGGGAATGGAATTAATACATTTATGCTGGAACAATAGAGCAATTTAGAATTGAATTCTTTATTTGGTTAATTGATGTGGCTCAACAACAGCTTAACAAACAATTTTCTATTTTGAAAGACTTTAATGTCAAGTTCAGCAATAGATTTTCAGCAAATGTAAACTTGCTCAAATGATGATATCATAAATTTTTTCATGAACCTGCATATTACTTTGACATACTCTACATTCAATGAGTCAGACATAGGTGCAACAGAGTTACTAGTGAACTTGGAAACATCTATTTGGCTCTACAATAATAATGTCAAATCTCCATTTGATGTGTTAACTTTCATTGCGCGAAATGATTTGGCTGAAATCTTTTCAAATGTCTCTGTTACTCTTAGAATAATTCTAACAACTCAAATATCTGTCCATACTGCAGAACGCAGCCTCTTAAAATTGAAGCTAATTAAAACATTTGCTTTGACAATGAGTCATGAATGTTTATCCGGTTTGAGCTTGCTGACTATTGAACAAGAAGAACAATTGTACTTCTTTATTAGACAAGCTTCAAAAAAGTTCGAAAAAGTAGTTTTAATTAAAAATGTTTTCTTTTTGTAACAATAAAGTCTTTGTTATTTTGAATTAATCTTAGTTTTCTTAAAGAAACATTAAAGATTAGCTTCAATAGATAATAAGTGGATAAGCACAAAGGCTTTATTCTAAAAGTATGTTTTGCAAAAAAAAGGCCTCAAAATTTTTTTTTGCACTGGGGTCCCAATGTTTTAAGACTGGCTCTGTTTAATAAGTGCATTATTAGAAATTAGTAATACTATTCCTTTGAAGTTTTTTTTTTTTTTTTTTCGCTATTTGCTATCCTAGAACAGAAAACACTTTTGCCTCAGATATCAGAAGATTTGTTCTAAGTATGAGTTTTAATTTATATATATATATATATATATATATATATATATATATATATATATATATATATATATATATATATGTATATATATATATATATATATATATATATATATATATATTAGGGTGGGTCATAAAATTTTTTTTTTCTTGTTACAGGCTCTAAACATTGCTAATAGTTATTAATATTGATACTATCAAATATTTGGAGAAAAAAAGTTTTTCAAAAGTAGGTCAACCTGGTACTCAAAAGAGGCGAAATTTTATAAAAAATTCGAAAATAATAATCGTTTTATAAACATCATATTGCCGAAAGAAATTAAAAAACATGTAAAAATGCACCTTTTCTACTTTTAGTTAAAAAACGATAGTTATTATGCAATAAAATCTAAAATAATAATTTTTATATAAAAAAATTAGAATTTCTGAAATTTTTATAAAATTTCGCTTTATTTAAGTACCTACATCACATAATTTTGAAAAACGTTTTTTTTGAATAATAATAGGGCCTGCTAATTTTTGTAATTATAGTTGCGGGTGGAAGACATTGTTCAATCCATAAAAGTAAATACTTTTCTAAATTAGTACATAAAAAAACAACTTTCTAGACCAGAGCCAGGTTAGAAACTTTAAAAAAAAATTTATGACCCACCCTAATATATATATATATATATATATATATATATATATATATATATATATATATATATATATATATATATATATATATATATATATATATATATATATATATATATATATATATATATATATATATATATATATATATATATATATATATATATATATATATATATATATATATATATATATATATATATATATATATATATATATATATATATATATATATATATATATATATATGTATGTATATACTGGGCATTTAACTTGCAAAACTTTAAATTATTTAATTACAAAAGTAAATATTTATTTTTAATGAATATATAGTTATACTTTTTAAGATAAAAATAATTCTACTTTATTTATTTTAGCACAAAGCGAACCAAGGTTATTGATGATGAAGCTGATTATTTTTCAACAGATAGTCGTTGGTTGTCAAAAAAGGAAAAAGAATCTTTAGCTAAAAAAGAAAAAGAAATCAGAGATCAGCGTTTTAAATCTAAACTTGATAAAAGAATATGCTTAGATTTTTTAGGAAGAGAAGTACATGAGTCTACTCAGGAGTGTAAGTACACAACTCTACTCAAGAGTGTAAGTACATGAGTCAACTCAAGTGTAAATAAATTAGTCTATCCAGAAGTATATGCTCTTTGTAATAATTAAGCATTTGTAAATATAAAGTGACATTATTAGTTATGTTTATGTTCTTGCTTACTTAGTTTTTTACAATGGACAAGACGATGAAGTAAAAAAAACTGTATCAGATACAAAGTTTAATGGTGTAACTGTTCAAAAGAATAATAGTTTGTTAGTTGATCCTAGAATATTTATTGAGTCACCCAAGGTAGTTATAAACAATTTTTTATTTATGAAATTTTACAAATCTTTACAGTTTTAAATTTTTAAACAGTTTTTTATTACACACTTTTTGAAACACTTTATTGGTAGAATCAGAATGTTTCACATTTTTTTTGGTAAATCTGAGAAACATAGATTTGGGTAAAAGAGAGCCACTATCAATCCTGAAGTTTTTTCTAATTATAATATTATAACATATTATATTTAGAATAATTATGTTTACTATGTTGTAACATTTTATATTAAATTTAATATCTTATAATATAGTAAATTTTAATTTTCCCAATGATGTAATAAACTTAAAATATTTTAAACTAATTGTTTTTAATTTTTTAAACTTTAACTTTATAATAATATAAAATTTAATATTAATTAACTAATGTCCTTTAAGCAAAAATGATTTTGATTTCTTAAAAATAATCTTTTTAAATAATTTTCCTTCTCATGATAGCTTGAGAAGTCTACTACGTTTTCTTTTTATTTTATCAGCAATAGCCCTAATTTTTTTAAATTATTTTTTTGACTGCATTCTTTAAAATAGCAGTTCTGGTTACATTTTGTTGCTACGCATCCTGTTACATTTTGTTGCTACGCCATCCTGGTGTATCACAATATTTTGTCTATTTAAGATTGAAAAATACCCATACCACTAAATTAAATAAAATTATTTAGATGAATAAAAGCAACTGATCAGCAGGACTTAAAGTTTCATGCCCAATGGCAATCATCAGCCATTAATATAAACAAAAAACGTAAACAAACCGTTACAAAAATGTAAAAATTACTGTAGAATGACATCTGACGTTATAAACAAATCTACGTAAAAAACAAATCAAAAAACAAAAAGCTGTTATATTTTATTAGTCTCCTGTGTCAAATAAAGATAATAAGAAATTTTTTGAATGTCGACACTGAGATATGATTTCATTTTTATATTCATTAGGTTTTTTCCATTATGTGATAAAATAACATATTTTTCGTAGAGACAAAGGTGGCATATTTTTGTTGCTAGATTGTAAGGTTTACGGAGGGTTATACCAAATAATATGACGTTTACGATCTTTTTTTGTTGATTTTGCCTTGAGATTAATTGAGGTTGGTAGGTAAGCTTTTGAAGATGTTATTCAATGTAAAAGTGATAATAAAAAAAAAATCACCCATAAAAAATCAAAAATTTAAAACAAAAATCATAGTAGTACATATTAACTTTAGTTTATAAATTTATAGTTCTAATTTATTTATAATATATATATAGTTTATTTATAATAAATAACTTTAAAACTACTTGTTTTTCAGTTTCAAGCAAATTGCTTTAAAGTTGACGCAAATTTAACTTCAAAAAACCAAAAGCAGTTCAACTCCCAACACAAAATGTCTCATCAAATGAATCGACTACAAGATAAGGAGCTACAAGAGGTTGTTGATAGAGGTTGCTTCATTTTTAGATTTCTCATTTATGCTTAAATTGTGTATTTTTAATATTTAGTTTGTTATTAACTCTAACCAAAAATCTACCTCATCTTTGCTGCATAATAATACATATGTTTTGGAAATTTACACATTTGTGTTTCAAAATAGTGTTTTTATTCGGTAGAACAAAGCAAGTCAAAGCTTTTTTATATGCCCATATAGTTTGATTATATCTGGCTTATTTTTATTTTAGGAATGTGCTTAAGTATGCACCAACCATGGGCATCACTTCTTGTACATGGCATTAAAAAGTGAGAAAAATCTATTTTAATTTTTAAAATCATTTTATACTCTTTTTTTCTTTAAATAAATATATTATTAAAAGTAACTAAATTTCAGGATGTTGGCCCTTTCATATTGCAATTTTGTGATATTGGGAAATAAGGTTGTTGTCAGCTGGCAACTCATTCATATAAAAAACAAACAAAAACTTGCAATCCCCTAACTCAATTAATACAAGCAGTTTACGACTCCATTATAGTAAAAAAAAAGAAGTTTTTTAGATAAAGTTCTTTAAAATGAGTTTTTCCCTTAGGTGGGTTAGAATTTTCATCATGCAATCTTTTTGAGCTTTTTTATCTTCTTGTTCCTCTTCAGGACAGCCCTACCCCTCCTCCTTTAGGGGTGGATGGGGAGTGATGGCAAAAATCAACCAATTAGCCCACATTAATATATATATATATATATATATATATATATATATATATATATATATATATATATATATATATATATATATATATATATATATATATATATATATATATATATATATATATGTATACATTACTTCTATATATATGTATATATATATATATATATAAGTTAAGCTATTAAGAGCCTTTCTTCAATTAAAAATATGCAAGGTTATCACCGAAGTACTTTACTTTTAGATTATAAAATTTAATATTTTCACATTAATTACAGATCTATTACTTTCACATTACATTAATAAAATAAATTAAGCAATGCAAAATTTTATATTAACAAATATATTATAAAATATTTTATCTTTAATTTTATTTTATATTTAATATTTATATATATTTTAAATATATATATAAATTTTATATTAACAAATATATTATAAAATAACTTAAATTATAATAAAATATTTCTATATTATAATATGTATTTTAAATTACATAAAGAGGTATTTAGAGATGCACTCTTCATGCCACATTTTGTTAAAAAATAATAATTTTGAAACCTTCATTTTATTAAATCTTGAAACCTTCATTTTATTAAATACATAAAAAACTGAAAAAAATCAATTAAAAAAACAAAAGCTTTTGCCAATATAACAAATACGACTCAGCATTTTATATATAAAAATGATAACACCAAATCAGTGTTATTATTGTTTGGCACTGTACAATTGTGCTTAACATATATATTTCAAGCGCTTAAATGAATAACATGTCCACTCACATTTACATGAAGTTAATAGAAAAGTAGCAATTAAAATTTTAATGCTTTTACAACCAGGAAAATTTATCACTTTTATCAACTCAGTAATATTAGTATTACCTTTTTAAATTTAACTAAAAGGCTTCACATAAATAAAGCTCACAAGGTTAAAGCATGAAATGAAATTCAATAGATCTGTTTCATAAAAGTCACTAAAAGATATCACTTCTGAAATCATTTTTGTAGGAACTAGTACAAAGTTCTTGAAAACTATCCCAAAAAAAAGTAAACCTTTTTTGACCCAACATGTTTTACAAAAACATTTTAATTGTTTTTTAATAGCCAATGGATTGATACTTTTAATATGCACCTCTAACATTTGTTGCCTGGTACGTACAAGTTTAAAAAGTATGATACCTCATTAAAGTGTGCCAAATATGATACTTGCCATATTGTAAAAACATGACATAGTGCCAAAACGATGTATAAGACACAAATAACTAAATTAAGTGTATGACTGTTGCAAAGAACATATGCAGCTTTTTCATTCAGATTTAAAATACAAGAGGACAAACCTTTAGTGTGACTATCGACTGCTCTAGCATCATATCAATAAACTCTGCAATTCATGATATATAAAAAAGAATCTGAAACACTATTTACCAAAAAACAAATTAATCCTTACTAGTAACACCAGTTGTGCAATCTAAGAAACTGATAAGTTCTCTTATTGAACTTTGAACCAACAAACCATATAATTAATAATAGCTATTCTTTACTTTAACTATCATAAGCTTCATCAGCAAAAATAGAAAAATGTTTACAATTTTTAAACTATTTTGTCATTAATGACAAAATAGTTTAAAAATTGTAAACATTTTTCATAACAAAAGTTATTAATGACAAAATTTTAGTTATTCTAAAACACTTTTTTACCAGATGATATGGTGTCTTAGATATGTAAGAAGAACTTTTTTTTTTGATAATATCTAAGTTGATCTTCAAGAATTTTATCACCAGCATAAACACGGAAATGTTGCAATCACTTGATTTTTTAAGTTTACTAAATAAAATTACAAGAGTTTAAAAGACTCATATCTAACACAAGAGTTTATATTTTTCTGTAATATACAATTCAAAGAGATTAATTTTGTCTGACTTACCCTTCATCAAACATCTAACATTTGGAGACATTTTAAATATCACAATAAACCTTAAATATTTCAGGGTGTAAGTACAAAGGTATGTCCGACAGTGTTTTTTCATAAATAAAATCAATTACTTAAAATTTAAATATTGAAAACTAAACTAAATAAAAAATTCAATTATAGAAAAAAAAATGTTAGGTACGTCCATTGTTTTATTTTGACACATATTAACTATTAAAATATGTTTCAGCTCCTGATTATTGCAAAACAATAGATTTTGACTAAGATTTTACTTAGGGTGTACTATTTTAGGTACGTCCAAAAATTGTTATAAGTAAAGAAATTTTTATTTTGCTTTTATAATAAAAAAAGATAAAAAATTTAAAAACTTTTTTTATCGTTTAATAAAATAATATTGGGTACGTCCATTGACCCTTCTAATTAAATATTGTTTATTTATTATTACTTTAACCTCCAGTTAAAAAAGATTTTTTTATTTAAACTTTAAACAAGAAGCAACTTTATTTACTCTAAAACAAAAGTAAAAAAAAATTTTTTTTTCATACCTGTTTATATAAAGATAAAAAAAAATTAAACTTAATTCACTTGACGGTTAAGTAAAAAAATTATTTTTATACGGAATAATAAAATATTATAGTAACTTTTTTTTAGATTTAGTTTTATTTTTGGGTACGTTTAAAAATGTACTAGACGTACCCTTGATCCACCCCTGCTGTTGTCTAAAAATTTAAATAAAAAAAATGATGCCAAAATTCAGTTTTTTAAAATTACTTTAAAAAAAAGGTTTCCTCTGAGCTGATTTACTAACATCTTGTTTGCAAAAAATGTGGATAAAAGCTGAAGATACAATATTTATTTACCTCAAGTGCCAGATACCACTTGAAAACCTGACTTGGCTGAGCTCACCCAGGAAGCTGTAATCCAAGAAGTGAAGAGAGCCAATGAGCTGCATAAGATCCAGGCTGCTGCTGTTGAGGTTAAAGAGGCTTTTGACAAGATATAACTCTATACCCTGATTCAACAGAGGACATTGGGCACTCAAAAGAGTCTTGCACTATATGATTTGGACAGATCCAACATAACACAAGAAGTAGTTGGAAGCTGATATGGAAATAATTAATATGATAGCAAAGTCAGGTAAAAGTTTACAGTGGTATGTTTTTAAAATATTTTATAAATGTTTTATAAAAAAGTAATTTTTTAATTTTTTATACAGGTCTGCCATAAAAATTTTCATTTGATCCACTCTGTTCTAACAGTTCTGGATCCAAGCACATTCAAGAGGTTTAAGCTCTCAAAATTATTAGAGAATGACTTGTCTGATTGAAGGGGTATAGCTAAAAATACTAACTGCTAGAGATTTACTACATTTTCAAGCAATTCAAAATAAAATGTTGATTTTGAATTATAAAAACTTTTTTGTAAGACACTACTTACATGAATGCAAAGGTAGTTATTAAATAGTTTTTATAATAAAATTTTGCCAAGATCTATAATTTATCACATTTAAAAACTTGTTTGTTTGAGATTATTTTTTTTTTCAATTTCAATTTGCCTCCCTAAGGCCAAGAAGACCACTACAGATGAAAAGGCTACTTAATTGTGGTTATAACCCACTCTCAACTCTATAACTCCGAAATATGAACATTGATAAGGCGGCTGCGTAGAGAAGCAAGTTGAGCAAAATACTACCATGGACATGATGGGGATCGAACTCAGAACTTCTTGCTTATGAGCGCTCTACCACTACACCGCTATAATTGTAAAGTTAAATAGTTTCTTGATAAAATGTTTTATAGAATACAAAATAGTTAAATAATTTTCAAAATTTGTTCATTTTCTATATTTTTAAAGGTTTGGATGTAATTATCAATTAGTAACCAGTTTTAAAAGATGTGCCTAAGAATTGTCTTGTGCATGGTGCAGCAGCTGCACTGATGGTTTTAATCCCCTTGCTGGTCACATTAACTGAACACCATATACAGATAGTTTTTGTCGATACTTTGCACAGAACTTCCATTAAACACCAGCACCATGCCACAGAGAAAGTTCTAGAAATCAAACAACTTATTGCCACTGCAATCAAGTTTTTCAATAACCTAACTTGATATAACTCTAATTACATGATACTGGAGACAATTTCAAGGATTAAAAGAGCTCTCACTATTTCTCAGTATTTAAAATGAATAAATATAAATTCATAGGAGTTATAAGATAAAGAAAAATATTATTGCTTTTGTGTAATCATAATTTATGTAGTGGTGGTAATAAACTTCTTTTCAGAATCCTATTTATTATTACCAGCGTTTCGAAGAGGTTCAGCACCAATACCTAGTTTATCTTGTCATATAAACACCATCACTATTTATTCTTAACCCTGCGATTTACGCCAACTCCATACTGCAGTAAAAAAGGACTTCAGTACAAAATAGCCAAAACCCTAACCTCACCCAAATTTGTAAAGCACTAATATTTTTGAAGAATTAATATAGATAGTGAGAGTAGTGAATTCAATACCAAATAGTATAACAAATATAAAATAAAATAAAATATATATAAGATAATAAGATAAATATATAAAATAAAATATAAATAAATTTTTTAAACAGAAATAACAAAAAACAATAAACTAAAATGTAAATGATAATATAAATTAATAAAAATAATTCTTA